CTCGGGAGCTGAGGGTCAGCGGGGGTTGAGCCGGGATGGCGCTGCGGATGTGCGACCACCCCCGGCATGCCAGAGGGGAGCGGTGGCGCAGCGGTTAGCGCGCTCCACTACGAACCAGGCGACCCGAGTTCGTATTCCCACTCACGGCCAACACCAGGGACAATTTTCTGAATCTGGTCTGAGCCTCCCCTAGGTCAACTCAGCCTCAAATAAGTGTGGTACGTAAACATCACCACGAGGCGAGACAAAGGTGGCCGGACGTGGTTCCTAGCTTCCCACCCCCCCCCTCGTGTGCCGTTTCGGCCTTCAGAGGTGAAATGCGCCTTACAAATGTTAATTATTATTAAGTTATAAATCATTTTTATTATTGTTTAGTGACACATCATTATTATTAATTGATAGATCATTAGTTTGATTATTAAGTAGTATATCATTATTAGTAAGTGATACTGTACATTATAGTAAGTGATAGATCAATAGTGTGATTATTAAGTAGTATATCATTATTAGTAAGTGATACTGTACATTATTATTAAGTGATAGATCATTAGTATGATTATTAAGTAGTATGTCATTATTATTAAGTGATACTGTACATTATTATTAAGTGCTAACCTCCGATTAGCACGGTTGGCTCTGTACGGTGCGAAAGACGTTCAAACATACATACATACACACTCGCGAACAGCACTTGCCCCAACACTCTCTTAAAGCTATACGGAGGGTGAGGGATCTTTGTGTTTGGGGGGGGGGGCGAGGGGCTGCACCTATGACCCGGCTGAGTCCGTGGCACACGGTGACGTCCGGGAGGCAGATGGAGCACTGGGGCGAGCAGGTCTGCGCTCCAACGCCGCCGTGCACGACCAGAGCCACGAGGGATAGCAGGGGGGTGAGGAACCCCGCCGTCGACGCTGGTAGTGACAGCAGGCCCAGAGGAGCCACCCACAGAGACAAACCACGATCATCATCGTCGTCGTCGTCGTCAGAGTTGTTCGACACGTAGCGGTAGACATCGATTATTGGTTTGGGGCTCGCTGTGGTGGTCTACCCGGCTCATCCACCACTGGCTGGGTGGGATTGCTGCGTTCACAACGGCCACCTCGTGGCACGCGCGCGCCGTGCGATTCCTTTCCATGCCACTGCGCCACAGGGCCGGTCCCGGGGGGGAGGGGGGGCTGCTGCAAGCTGCAACATCGTCCGTGGCGTTTTGGTTTTTGGTTGTTTGCACTCAAGGCGCGCGGTAACCTTTTCGCCGAGTTGGACAAAACACGGAACGATCGGGTTGTGTGCCGTGCCCGTTAATAATGAAGAGAGCGGCCGGTGAATTAATGATGATCTTGAGAGCCACTGTGTCCTCCATGGTACGCGCGCCGTGAGTTGGGTCCAAGTTGTTTTGGGCAATCCCCTCTGCAAGATTCTCCGGTGAGGTGACGTCGTACCAAATATACAGGGTGCTTCAAAACAATGTTAACACGTCTGAGAATTTGCAACAATTCCGCAAGGAATGCGTCTCCGGGCTCTGGAGACCACCTGGAGAAGATTCCAGGCACGCGTTGACAACGATGGCGAACACGTGGAAACTCTTTAACTTTTTGAAGCTATTAACAGACATTTGTTATGATGTTATAGTGTATTATCCTTTATTTTTCCGTTAAAAACGATAGTTCCATGTAGGTGTTAACATTTTTAGAAGCACCTTTTATTTCCCGGGCTATTATATTTATTTTGACGCATCACGTAGGGTTATTTCATGCATGTTCTGACTACCATTAACGTTAATGCATGCACGCATGAATTGTCTTTTGAAATTAATTGTAAAACTGTTTTATTAAAATGACAGCTACCTTCTTTAGCATACGTAAACAAAACAAAAACGTAATTGATCTCATTCGTCTTGAGTAAAATTTCTTTAAATTTTTAAATGTCATCTGAAAAAGAAATTATGTGGATCGTACATGTGCAAGTGCTTAACAAAACAGTTAATTAAAGTCTGTTCTCTCCTGGGTGGCCCATAAAATCTGTCTGCAACCGGTACACCACATCGAGTGATACTAGTATTTTGACTACAATCATTATTTTACCAGGTACGGCGCACTGAGCTACGTAGCTTATTTTCAGAAGCGACCTGGCCACAAATGATAGCCCAACGAAGTGGTTCATCACGTGGCAAATTATAGCAGCCAAATACTCTAAATACAAGTTCTAAATGTGGAGGGAAAATCCCGGAGAAACTGTAGAAAAATCCACGCGACCACGGGGAGAGAAACACGCAAACTCCACATACACAGCAGGCGTCAGGGTCGGGATCGAGCCCACGACCTCCTGCACACCGGGCGAGGTAGTTAATATCTCGCCACCTCTGGCTATGTCTGCAGCTAAGAGTCATGTGCCTACTTGCTCCACTATACCAGGGACCCGGAACATATTCGGTGCAAATATGTAAAAAACTTGACTTACATGTGTGCCAAATTTCAGCTCATTAGTACATCTAGAACATAATCAGAGCTTCCATCATCGTCACCAATCACCACAATGCTTTTCAAAATAGATACACGTACAATGTTTGAAGTGAGTCTTTAACAGAGCTTACCTGTCATTCTCCTAACGACGTGTTCGTTCGGAAGCAGATACTCCACGTCCCAAATATATTAATATCGCTTACTTTTTCACGCTGGCAAAAAAAAATAACAACCGCAGTAATTATTCACACGGTAATTCTATCCAACCTCCGCAACGCCTATCCCTTGTTTTTGTTCGACTACGGACATCGGGATTTTCGCCAACGTGTAAACCCGAACTAAACTTGGACTCCAAACGCGTCCGGGGACTCTGCACTCTTAGCCGGTGCCCTCCGTGGTGTCAGAGTCGGGCAGAGCGAGATGCAGCCCTCCTTAATTGTCGCGCAAAAAAATATATATATTTTTAACAAACAAATAAAACAAATCGAGTGGCGAGCGATGAGTCTCTCGCGGCCGCCGTGTTTGTGCTCGAGCAACGGAGGCGGTGGCTGCTCCCCTCGTTGTCCCTGCGCGGCGCACAGCATGCCCAGCCGTCACGCCACGGCCATCCCCGCACCGTGAGCGCAGGGGATGATGGGGGTGTCACGTTGCCCACTGCCCGGACCCAGCCTCGTGAGTCGAAACGCGAGCTCCCGTGGCGCGCGCGACACCCATCGGGGATGCCCCCACCTCACCCCCCCCCCCAACCCGTTCCCACTCGAGGAAAGTTGCGTACCGCGGTCTGTGGCCTCTGTCCGGTGGGGAGCGCTGTGGCCGCACTGAGGCCAATCCACGGCGTGGCCAAGTACCGGTCTAATGACCCCCGAACGACAGACCCCCGCGGGCGCGTGGGGGTTACGAATGAGACCGACGTTGCGAGACTCAATTCCCGGTGCGCATCGACGAGGTGTCCATAGCCCCCGGCTCGCCGGATGAACGCGGCACAGCGAAGTGCGGACCGATATCCGCTGTCCCCTGCAGTACGGCATAGAGGGTTGTCCCCTCGCACGCGCGGGTTTTCGCCGGGTGCACCGGTTTGCCTCCCGCGTGTATAATGAACGCTCACTGATTGACTGAAAACATCTTCATATGTAAAGAACTGCAGAAGCAATTATTGGTAGCGTCGGCTCAGGCCTCCAGGCCTGTGCCTGTGGTTCCTCATCAGCGATTCTGAGACGCAAATTGCATGGAATACGCCGCTATTTACAAGTAATCGGGGTTTTGTTTTGTTAGATTAGATGGGAGGGTTTTCATCCAGCGCTGAACTGAAAGAGCCGTTCAAAAAATCGCGCATTGTCCGTGACAAATGCGAGGAGTTGGTTTGATTTGTGATTAAGTTCCATCCGTAGGGTGTCATGTGACAAGACAAACAAAAACTGAAAAAGTGCACAAAGAAGCATGGATTGCTCTCTGCATGCTGGGAATTACATCGAGATAACTAAACAGAAACATGGGGGTTGATGAGCATGCGCTGGCTGAAGACACGATCCCGCGCCGACGGTTAGCGCGGTTGACTACGCACCGTGCGAAAGTTGCGGAAAATTTTGAGTGAAGCTTGGGCAGGACGACGACACATCACGGCTCGAGCCTAGAGGGCCAGGAGGGCACGATGGCCGATGGTTACGAATAACAACCGGAAAATGAGCTCATCCGAGAGCACGTGCACAGCGGAGATGGAGCGATGAAATCAACTGATTTGCGGAGACTTTGATCTAGCAGTGAATTGACCATGGCTGTTGCTGCTCCTGATGATGATGATGATTGGGATGCGGGATGTGAAGTCAGATGTGCCAGAGCGTGACTGATTATATTTGTGTCATTTGTCAGCCTCGAAACCGCGACGGGGGCTCCGGTGTCTGGCTTGCTCATCAGCAGGCCCTCTCGGGTTCACAGGTGGCGTGGAGGCGCTGCGATGTCACGCGAGGAGGTGTCGCGCGCCGTCAGTCAGGGCCACGGGCCGCGTTACTGCCCCCTCGTTCGACCGGGGAGTGGGGGCGGGGTTGGAGATCGGGTGACATAACGCGCTCTGTACACAATGGAGCGGGAGGAAGGGTGGGAGGGGGGGGGATTCAAAAGAAACATTGGGCCAAACATCCAAATGCAGGGCCCTCACATGTGCAGGAGCCTTGGGACTCGGTAAAGCTTTCCTGGACAAGAAATTATCAATATTATTAGTGTATTAAAAAAAAAAACATCTGTGGACATGTGTCGAAATGTGGCTGGGGAGGCACGAACTTTGTTTCATTTCTTTATACGTGCAAATTTAAATTCATTTATTTGACGAAGTAAATGGAATTTGAAACAAAATCATCTGAAGAGCGTTGAGAGAGATTGCACTGCGAGACAAAGAGGAGCACGCTGCCGCCGGTGTTTGTGACGTAACGGCACGGGCTGCAAGTGACGTCACCGCGGGGTCTCTGGGACAGGTAAAGGTGGCACGGTGCGCCGAGTGTGTCACGAGCGGTGGGACACACGAAAGGGAAGTAACGCAGCCCGCGAGGACACGCGCGCCGCGGAGATGGAGCGATGAAATCAACTGGCGTGCGGGAGCTCGAATGTTCGCGGCGACGGCTCGGTGAAGCAAATGAGTGGAGGCTCGGCCGAGGGAGGTAATTGGGATGATGCGTGTTTGTGTTTTGGCTTTGTGAGGCGTTGCTACACTGCCGCCTGGTGGCTTCGTGCAGAAAGTTGTTCTTCTCGCCCAGTCACAACCGAGGGCCTCTGCGATTTCGCTGCGGCTCGAAAGAGGGGGTGGTGCTCATCTGGCGTCTGCAGGCCTGAGCTCGTTGTGGAATTTCCACATTCGTACGGCAGGGCCGAGGCTTTCCATAGGACAATCACACCGGACTTCCACAAAAAGTGGAAATCATTGTATCGACCCCGGAGGGATGATGGGCTGTGTCAACCCCCAAGCAGCATTTGAACAGGTCCCCTCGGAGTCGTGGTAACGTCGTTCATATTTCGACGGAGTGCTTCTAGCCAATAGCGTGTGGCAATCCAACATTTTATTTCACAAAGCTTGGCTCTGCTGATGAGACCCGAAATGTCGAAACCGGTCCAGAGTTTGACTGAGTAAACAAATGCTGCTGGATAAATCGGTCTTGCAGGCCAGAATGCTGATGCTGGAATTAAATACGTTTTTATTTATTTAAACTATAGCAGGCCGCACGTCCGATAGCTGTTGCCGCCCGTCCGTCCTTCCCTCCAGCCGGCCATCCATCCAGCCAGCAAACCTTTTCCTCATCGAGTACGGTGTAGACGTGGAAACACAGATCTGAATTGTGCTCATATATGCTCCCAATATCTTTATTTTGTTTTGATCCAAAATCACATACAGTATACACTTACAACAGAAAATGCATTTTCATACACATTGCTAAATATGTTTCAAATTATTATAATTGTCATCATTATCGTTCTCACAATGAACACACACCGTGTGCATTAATCATCCAAAAATCACGTGGGACAGAATGAGGATGGTAGCAAGCTGATGATGAGTTTGCGTGGAATGTTTAGTTTACGTTAATATAAATGCCCCTGTTAGGGTGGAATGTCATACACACATGGAGGGCCCTTTGAGAAAATCACCGTTGACAGTTGGAGGCCAACAACCTCTTCACAAAGATAAAGAGCCCCCGTATAGCCTTCAACAGACTGTTAGGGCAAGTACTGTTTGCGAGCAAACTATGAAAGTTGGCGCACCGCACACGAACGGAAGGTGCGGCCAACACCCCACGCCCGGCCCCCTTTGTCTCCCCAGTGCTGATGTTTAATGCACACCGCACCACCAGGTGACTCATTTTTTAAGGCTGAGTCGACTTAGGGGTAGGTAGGCCCGGGACCGGTTCAAATATATTCGCAGCCACTGTTGTTGGTTGTGAATGGGAATCAATCGAACTCTGGTGGCCGGGTTCGTAGTGCAGTGTGCTAACACACTGCGCCACCGTTCCCTAAAAATACAAAGATCCCCAATATAGCCTTAACAGACTTTTGGGCCAAGTGCTGTTAGCGAGCACCTATGAAGGCCGACACGGCACAAGAGGGAGTGAGTGACTTGCACAACAACCGGCCGCCTTTGTCTCCCCAGTGCTGATGTTTACTACACATCGCACCAAGTACTCATTGGAGGCTGAGTCGACCTAGCGGAGGCCCAGGACCGGTTCAGATATTCATCACCGATGTTGGGCATGAATGAGAATCGATCAAATTCGGGTCTCCGGGTTAGTAGGGCAATGCGCTAACCACTGCGCCACCGCTCCCCCCATACACACATACACACACAGACACACGCACAGAGCGCCCTGGAGGCCGGCTCTCAAATCACACCAATTATTGCACGGGGATTCATCTCGCATCCCTGTCTGCGCTCTCGCGCCCTGTTCAAGGGGAGCTAGATTGTGTTTCCCTTTGTCCACACACATGTTGACAAGGTCATGGGTCTCTATTGCTGTCGGTGCCGAAACAAAAACACAAACACAGTTGACCTAGATACGATGTCCAATCTAACCCCAGCAACCATCACCATCGTTGTTTCCACCATCGGGGATTGCTACAACGTAGGACCGCGTTAGGCATTAGCGTCGCTACGGGAAGGACTCCATCCAGCAGTGGATAGATCATAGCTGAGGATGATTGCTATTGTAGTCTTTTAATAAGGCGCTCAGATTAACAGTACAAATGTCAGAGCATTGTTGCTGTGTGCTAGGGTATTATCGGTGTTTAAGGGGGAGCGATGGCGCAGTGGTTAGCGCACAGCGCTACGAAACCGGCGACCCGAGTTCAATCTTCGGCCAAGGCGAGTTGATATCTGAACTGGGGGCGGTCGGATCCCCACCCCCGCCTCTCCCCCCTGCCTACATCAACCCGCACTGATCAGCATGGTGAGGTGTTGTCAAACATCCCCCATGCCCGATACGGCGTGGAGGGGGCGTTCATCCAGCAGTAGAGCGACTATGCACTGAAAATCAAGTTCAACTTCATGAGAATATTTTATTGTACAAGCAGCTCCCACGTCCTTTGGACGTGACCTTCCGTCCCGCCCTCCAGCCGGACAGCCAGCCAGCAAAACGGTTTTGTTCCCAACATTGTATGACGTCATATTTTGTTCTTGCAATTATATGTTCATATAGTGTGCTTAATTATATACGTGTAGCTAATAGACTCACTATTAATATGAATCATGAATAATTTGACAGCATCAGTAATTATATTAATCTGCGCAACTGCTAATCACATTCTCATTACAACGGAATTCATCAAACTTCCCAAATGCTGCAGGGAACCCCGTATTTAGACCTTTTCTGGATAAATACATTACCGTATGAGATTAATAACACATCAATAGTAGTAGTAGCAGTAATGATAACAATAATTTAAAATCAAATGCAATATTTCTCCAAGTCAATAACACTGGTCAACACACTTTTTCTGGCATAAGGTATTGAAACGGTTTGAAGGTACTTTTGGGGTGCTGATTCCAAATTTGGCATCAGTTTTTGTCTATCACATCAGGTTTTTGAGATATCAAATATTGCATTTTCATGAAAAACTGTAGAAGAAAAATATTAAATAAATGTGGATATCTACATAAAATATATTATAAACACACTATCCTAAAAATACAGCACCATATTTTAACACTAAAGCAATCACTGACTCGCAACAACTTGCAATCATAAGTAACAGAGTTAATTTCGGGTAAAATCAATCAAAATGGGGTATGCCGATAGCATAACAATGAGATGTGATAGAGCAAATCTGAGATCAGATTCGGAATCAGGACCCTGAAATTAGTCTAAAACAGCTGCAACAGTCCAGGCCAGAAAAAAAATGTTTTTTTGTTGTTGACCAGTGTAATCAATTCCTATTTGGTGCCTCTAGACGGCGGCGTAGCTATGGCGGTGCTCAGGCGGTGCAACTGCACCCTGGGGGCACGGCGCTCCGAGTAGGCCGGGCGGGATTAGGCAGGAAGCGGGGAGTGGGGGCAGCCCCACTCGAATTCCTAGCACCTGCACCCGTGCCCCGCGCCCGCCACGCTACGCCACCGTCTCTGAGGATGTCATGGATGCAGGGCCGTCCATAAGGGGGTAGGGGATAGGGGAGGGGGAGGCAAATGCCACCGTGTGTGGCCCTCCGACGCCTTCAAACTCAACGGGGAGTATCACCTCTCACACCGTGACGTCCAAACGAGGCGACCCCCCCCCCCCCCCAGCTCCAAAGCGCGGGGCCCCGGTGCGGTCGCTCGCCCCGGGGACCCTCGGCACGGCTCTGCAAGCGGTGGTTGCAGAGTCGTGAATACGCACGGACACATTCACACGTTCACGGTACAGTCAAAGCCGTTGAGCAAATACTCCCCGCGCCAAGAGACGCCCGCGACGCGCTCCACAGTGCCACCGTCAACCCCGCGTGGCTCGCGCTGCACACATCACGCCGCTTGTTTCGGGCCCGGGTGGGTGTTTTTGTCCCCCCCCCCCCGACACCCGAGTCATAGCAGCCCACCCACACGGTCCGCTTCTCTGCCGCGTTCGTCGGCATACAAACGAAGACGTGACGCGCCGCGTGCGCCTGATGATTGCTAAACGCGTTCCGCGTGCGCACGCACGCGCGCGCGAGAAATCTCGAGATTCAATTGATTATGGCAATTTTAAAACATTTCGATTTAAAGCTTTCGTGACTGCAGAGATTAATCTTCTTAGTTCTTTCGGTAAAGTCACGTAGAAGGGAAATAATAAAATAATAATTTTTTTAAATAAAATTATAAAACATAATTAAACAATTCTTATGTTTTATGTTTAATTTTTATTATTCTTTATTTCCCTTCTACGTGACTTTACAGAAAGAACCAAGAAGATGAATATAAAACATGGTCATCAGAGAATATATCTTAAAATATCATTCTTATCAGCCCCCCATGGTGTAGATAAGTGCAGTATATCGCGATTATTATCCACTCGTCTCTTTGGGCCTCTCTTTGGGCTTTTCCCGAAACGTCGCTTTTGTCATTTTTTTATTTTAAGGCCACAGTGTTATTGACGATTGTGTTCAGTTTGTTCCAGGTTAATATAAATTGGCGTTCTTTGTGTCACGTGAAACATAACACACACACAAGAAAGTATTTAGCACGTTGGTTTTCGCAGCCAATGTTTCGCAATTAAGTTTTATGTTGGGCCACGGACTCTACCGATTGCTATCCAATTGCTAAAGTTAGCCGTGACAATTGTTTTTGCAACTTGCCGGTGAGCTGACTCAATATTTGGCGCACTGAAACGCTCGTACGCGAGACAATGCGATTTATTTGGCTCTGTTGGGTAGTTGGAGGGCTTTACCACAAGCATTTAGGCCAGAATCAGTAAGTGGCCTAACGAAAACATCAATTGTGACTCGCACGCCACAGTGCTTGCTTCCTGTGGGACGCAGCAAAGCACGCACATTTAGATCCGGCTATTGCAGCGCACAAAGAACGCACCGTTTTAGCAATCATCAGGCTCGAGCAGCGTGTCGTAACTTCATTCGTATCCGCCCGGGAAATTGGCGAGCACGGAAAGGCGAACTTGGCCATTGAGGGCTGGGAGACCCTGGAAACCGCGGACATTCATTGTCGCATACGCAGCAGCAGCAGTCGCAGCAGCAGCAGTAGCAGAGGTAGCAGTTGCAGCAGCAACAGCAGCAGCAGTTGCAACAGCAGCAGCAGTAGCAGTAGCTCGCTTCGCTGTCCAAGTCGCGTCCATTCGGCGCGACTCGCTCACTTCAAGTAGAGTCCACAGTGACAACGATGACGACGACGACGACACAAGCCTGGAAGCAATCAATGTAGTTGCACGTCTGTTTGACTTCTTTCGCACCGCACGTAGCCAACCGTGCTAAGCAATGCAGTTGGTGGGGCTCTGACTCCCGGTTGAGAAGGGAATTTCACTCCACCACCACCTCCTCCTCGCCTTTCATGTCACGCGAGGCGTGCAGGTACAACTAACCGGGGGCGGGGGGGGGGGGCAGGGGGGAGACCCAAAGTGTTCAGCCCGTGTGGTCAGATCGCCCGGAATGTGCCCCATCTCGCCAGACCTCGGAAAGTGATGAGCGGGGTGGAGCCCACATCGTGCTTGCACGGGCGACTGCAGTGCCACACACACAGGTGTTATAGGTTGCGGACAGGGCGACGTTGCCAGCAGAGGGCAGTGCAGCAGCGTACATTGTTGTACTGTACTATTTTCGAGCCTCTATGCTCCCCACCTTCATTAACCGGTGGTGATTAGCGTGATGAAGTTGGGCTAAATAACCCCCGGGTCTCTATGTAAGTCTATGGGTATCTATATGCGTCTACAGGTAATGTCTATATATATGGGTCTTTATGTGGGAAAGCACATAGAAGCCACTGCCAGCATATTGCATTGTCTCAGTGGACCTCAATGTGAATCTATGGGCTTCTCCTGCGAGTCTGTGGGTTTCTCCGTGAGTCTATGGGTCTGTGAGTGAGTATATGGGTCTCTGTGTGAGAGAGTGCTCATGATGAAGCCACTACCAGCATATTAGAGTGGTGACTCGATGAATTCATCTCCACGCTGAGGATAAAAATCTCGAGATGGACTTTGTCGCTTTCTTAATTATTCAGCCACTGGCAGACGATATTTCCCGAGCGTGTCACGGCCTTTAATGCGGGGTGGAACCAGGCAGATAAAACTTGGAAGTTCGAAAGCTGATCTGAGAAACGGCTGTCTCAGCTGTGCTGACAATGGGAAGATGTTGCCCTGGATGCAGAGACATGGATAGATACACCGATAGATAGAGGCATGGAAATAGATGCAGCGATAGACGCGGAGACACAGAGACATAGAAACTCATAAAGAGAGGCAGAGAGACAGAAACAGAGAAGACACACACACAGATGGCGGATACATTCACGCCCAGCAAGAAGGACACATATACACGGAGATATACAGCAATATCGAGAGACAAATACAAAGAGACACAGCAAGACAGACACAAACACAACACAGATACAGGGAGACAGAAAGAGAGACCAGGCTGACGCCATCGACTCACTACACTTGAGTCACAGTCAGCGGAAGCCAAGATTCAAATCCAAGATCTCAGCAGCACCGGCTCAGTGATTTGAACCCTTGAGCCATTCGGCCGCATCTCTTTCTGACCTCTTGATTAACGACTCCTATTGTTACCCCACTCTCTCCGATTGTTTCAAACGCCTGTAACACACACACACACACAATGGGCTCAGTTGATCTCCGTCAACTTTGAGCTGCCGAGGTCAAACGTCCTCCCAAGATTCTAACAACACATTCAGCAGGTTCCCGCACCAGTGATCATTTCTCCGGGGTGGTAACGGGGGTTAGGGGGGAGTCTAGGGGGCCGTGTCCCCCTAAGCAACATCAGTGTCGTCGTCCCCCCAACTCTCATGTACACCCGCTTAGATGCAGCTCCATTCAGTGGCTGTAAAGACCCTCAAGATTAATTGAAGAGATTATGCGGCTGATGCCATCACACCACTTTCTGCCTCCTTCAAGATCGTGCGGCCGTTGAGGAGTTGATGCCTCATGAACTCCAAAGTCTGCTCTTGACGGTCTCATCCCACTCGCGGAGTTTTACATTGAGGCTGTGGGAATGTGCGCCCCTCCACAATATCACGTGCTGCTCAAGACTCTCCGCTGTCCCAGACATCCACACGCACAACAGCGCTCGCGATTCGATCCGCCGCATTAATCGTGACCTTATTGCTGAAAGGTTGTCCGATCTACTCGTCTTTACCAGTCCTGCACGAGCAGATTGTCTCACAGCCGCTAGTACAGCAGGTCAATCCACCCTTCAGCTTTGGCTAAGTTGCTGGATTATCCTCTGACTCTGCCGGTTTATCATCGGACGCCACGAGGTCCAAATTCACGCCATTGCTGTCGCCTCTGCCCTCGCCCGCCTCGCCCGACAAGGTCTCGTCCTCTCCCGTCTCCGTGTCTCCAGTGGGGGCTTTGACGTCCCCAACTCGAGCAGCCTCTTCCCCGGGCCGCTGTTCACGCTCGCGACACGATCCCTGGTGAACCACTGCTTCCTCCGTCGAAGCTCCACACTGGAGCTCTCCGCCACGATTGTCCGCTCCGCCGTGGGTCTCGGCGCCGCCGTGAGGTCCCTCCTCTCTCTTGCCTCCCATTTCTGCCTCCTCCATCGGGGAAGATCCATTCTGCTGCTCCGACCAGCTCAGGACCCGCTTGCTCAGCTGCTTCCAGAGCCGGGGCTTTTTATTCCCGTCGGCTTCACCGTCGCCTTCGCCGTTTCTAGAAGCCGCGTTGCTCTTCTCGGTTCCTCCCTCGTGACCGTCGCCCACCTTGTTGCGAGGATGCCCTTTGCCGTCGAGATCCTCGGCTGTTGACCCGCTGCTGCGCTTCGTGCCTTCCTCTGGGTCCGCGTCGCAATCCTCGCTGTCGCCGGGCCCCGATTGAGACGCGCCGTGTGCGTCCGTGTTCTCGCCCGCTTGCAAAGTGTCACCAGGTTCAACAGCATCCCCCAGATCATTTTTCTGAGCCTCAGCCACTTGCTGCGATGCCTCAGCCTTAACCACGCTTCCATCCGATTCGTCGTCTGCTCTGGCGTGGTCTCCATCGTCCGGACGTGCATCACCAGGCTCGGTGTTCTCTTCAGCTGCCTCGTTCCTGACGATTGCTCTCACAACATCCCTGGATTTGTCCACCGGTGTTTTTTCTTGCGCTGATACGACCTTCTCCACAGCAGCTTCGATTTCCTTCGTGTCGACATCACCCTGGACCTTGGCCTGTTTGACCTTGGCCTGTTTGTCAGGGTCAGGTTTCTGATCTCCTCGTTCATCCATCGCCGCTTCTCCGTCTTGATGCTCGTTAAAACTCAGCACTCGCTGGCTCAACTTTTTCCACAACTTGGGTGGCTTCTTTTCATCTCTCTCCAACTCCTCGCTATTAGGCTTGGTCTCAGGATTCCGATCTTCCCTCTGTTCTTGTTCCGCAGTTCCTTCGTGGTCACCTTGTCCGTTACATGGAGACTCATCATGGGTATCTAGCCCTACCTCTGCTGGAGACTCCTGGACACTATTGAGTCCTTCTTGTTGTTGTTGAGAAAGAGTGTCCGTCGCACCTTCGCCTTTGTTCTCGTCTTCTTGTGCTGCCACCGAATCTTCAGTATGAGCCATGCTGGTCACTCCATTTTCAATATTTGCCACTGCCTCAATCAGATCTTTATCTTGAAACCCATTGTCTGCCTGTGGGGCTTCTTCTCCTGGACACTGAACACCATGAGCTTGATGCTTAACATCACCATCCATTGCTTTGTCTGAAATAGTATTTTCATGTTTCTCTGCTGAAGTTTCATCCTGGGCCTCCACTTCCGCTGATGGAGCTTCACACTGGACTTCTGTTTCCTCTGTTTCAACTCCACTCTGAAACTTTATTTCATCTGGTGGAGCTCCATCCTGGGCCTCTGCTTCTGCTACTGGAGCTCCATCTTGTGCCTCTGCTTCCTCTGATGAAGCTCTGTCCTGGGCCTCTACTTTTTGTGATGAAGCCCCATCCTCGTCCTCTGCTTCCCCTGATGGAGCTCCACTCTGAGCCTCTGCTTCTTCTGTTGGAGCTCCATCCTGGACCTTGAATTTATCAGTTGGAACCCCATCCTTGGCCTCTGCTTCCTCTACTGGTGCTTTGTCATGGGCCTCAGTTTCCTCTGTTAGAGGTCCACCCTGGGCCTCTGATGCCTCAGTTGAAGCTCCATCCTGTGTATCGGTTTCCTCTCCTAGAGCTCCATCCTGTGCTTCAGCTTCTTCTATTGGAGCTCCACCTTGGGCCTCTGCTTCTTCTACTGCAGCTCCATCCTGTGCCTTTGCTTCCTCTGCTTCAGCTCCATCCTGGGCCTTTGCTTCAACTCCATCCTGGACCTCTGCTTCTTTTACTGCAGCTCCATCCTGGGCATCTGCTTCCTCCACTGCAGCTCCATCTTGGGCCTCTGCTTCTTCTACTACAGCTCCATCCTGTGCCTCTGCTTCCTCAACTAGAGCTCCATCTTGGGCCTCTGCTTCTTCTACTACAGCTCCATCCTGTGCCTCTGCTTCTTCTTCTGCAGCTCCATCCTGTGCCTCTGCTTCTTCTACTACAGCTCCATCCTGTGCCTCTGCTTCCTCTTCTGCAGCTCCATCCTGGGCGTCTGCTTCCTCCACTGCAACTCCATCCTGGACCTCTACTTCTTCTACTACAGCTCCATCCTGGGCCTCTGCTACTTCTACTACAGCTCCATCCTGGGCCTCTGCTTCCTCTAATAAATAATTTTCGACCTCTGCTTTTTCCTCTGAACCTACATTTTGAACCTGTGATGGAGCTCTGTCCTCAGCCTCTGCCAGAGCTCCATCCTGGGCCTTAGTATCCTCCTTTAGATCTGCGTCTGTGACTCCCAATCCTCCTGCATCCATGACATCTGATGTCTCCGCTGGAGCTTCAGGCTCATCTCTCGGTGTTCGCTGAGACACTTCACCTTCGTTGGTCACATCGTTAGCACCTTGATTGTCGTCGTTTTTCATTCCTTTGGTCGCTAGCGAGTCGTCTTCAGTGGCAACAGTGGCTACCTCCCGACCGACAGCGGATGTTTCCGCTTCCCATTCAGAGGCAACGTCTTTGGCGTCCAAATCTTTCACTGCCGCTTCGTGGTCCCCGTCCCCACTTTCCTCGGCATTGTCATCGGCTTCAGCGTCGGTCTTGCCGTCTGGTCCAATCGCACCTGCGACAAACAAACAAAAATCAATGCGCACGGTGAAAATGTCCCCAAGCGTGTGGCACAAGGGTTGGGGGGGGGGGGGGGGGGATGCTGCAGCACCAGTCAGAGGGTGAGCATTCATCCGCCAGCAGGAGGCGATGTGGCAGTGCACGGATTTCCCGGTTCAGGAATATGCCAGGGTAAAGTGCGGGGGCTCCCACCTCTTCCAAAATTATCTGATCGAGCGTTGATGAGTAGATAAAACACCGTCTACAGAGGGTCCCTCTAGAGCTCCCTTGAATGGAGTTTCCCTCTGCCCACTAGTGGCATGAGCGAGCAATTGCAGGGCTGCACCTTTACTCTTTATAAACATCTAATCTGGTCAATTTAGACCCCTGTAACTCGGGCACACGATGGCCGGAATTGTTTCCAAACTACGTCGCGGGGTCTTTTAACGTTTGCCACGAAACAGACGGAACACAACATTGCACGATCAATACCTACCGCAGGGTTAAACTCAAATAAAACAAAACTAAACTTTTTTTTTTATTTTACCAGGTAAGGGCCACTGGGCTATAAAGTTTATTTTTCAGAAGTGACCTGGCCACAAATGATAGTCGAACGAAGTGGCTCGCTCATCACGTGGAAATTTATCGCAGCCAAATACTCTAAACGCATGTTGATTCTAAATGTGGAGAGAAAAACCGGAGGAGCACCCGGACACAAACCCACACGACCACGGAGAGAGACACGCAAACTCCAAATATACAGGCGTCATGGTCAGGATCAAACCCACGACCTCCTGTATTCCAGGCGAGGTAGTCAACATCTCGAACTGGGGCGGACGCCACCCACGAACCACGAAGCTCAAACCCCTCCCATCTCACCCCCCAAATGTTACCGTTATCACTGCCACTGCTGTCCTGCACGGCCGCCACCGGCGCCACTGCCGTATCCTCGTCCTCGGAGTTTGACGAGTCGCTGCTCAGCTCCGGCTCGGAGGCGGCCCGCCGCTCCGTGTGGCTCAACGCCGTCGAGATGCGGTGAGCCACACTCGCGGGGCCTCCTGCAGGCCAAGGGGGGGGGGGGTCGTGGAGGTTGCAGGGGTCGGCCGAAGAAGGAGGTTACGCAGAATTACTTCTGAGATCCGTGTGTCTATGTTTGTGTGTGTGTGGGGAGTGGTAGTGCAGCGGTGAGCGCTGCAATGCTCTATGAAACCAGCGATCCGAGTTCGATTCCTGTTCGTGGCCAATAACAGTGGCGAATATTTTAACCAGTCCTGGGCCTCTTCTAGGTCGTCACAGCCTTAAGTGACTTCGTAGTGTGGTGCGTAACCATCACCACTAGGGAGACAAAAGCAGCCGGTTGTTGTGCATGCCACCCATTACCTCTTGTGCCGTGTCAGCCTCCGTAGGTGCTCGCTAACAGCACTTGCTCCAATAGCCTATCAACTTGTCCTGCAAGCCCACCTACGTTGCTTAACATTGAATATGGTGGCTAGGTAAACGTTCAGCCCTGAAACAGCTCACTCACGTCACCGCTGGCTGAAGGTCCTCCACGAGACGAATATGGATTGTTTGACCGTACTTCGCCAGTGTAGGCTGACAAAGGGGGAAACTCAGCAGCTGTTCGGATGTCGCTCGCTAATGCTGATGACCCCTGAAATGGAAGCCGTTTGCCGCTTTCCATCTCGGGGCTCTCTGCTCCCACATTGTTCGCGGAATCCGAATGACGGTACTCACCGCTGCTTGCATCGTCTCCAACCACCATCGCCGCCGCTGCAGGGATGTTCCCATCACCATCGCCCGTCGCTTCATCCCATTCCTCTTCCCCATCCTGTCCTGCCGCTACGTCCACCTCCGTCGCGTCGCTGCCGTGCCCAGATTCTTCGTCGGAAGCGACGGTCCCTCGCCCTTCCCTGCCGGCGTTTTCTTCAGAATGAGTGGAGTGGGAGCTTCCCCCCCGGGTCGTGACGTCACCGTCATCGTCGCGGTCCTCCTCTTCCATGTAACTGCGCAGCGGTGATGGTGTCTCTCTGTCCCAGTCGTCGTCTGGTATCTCTCCTTGCGTCTCCTCCTCCTCATTGTTCCTCTTCTCATCTGCTTCCTCCTCATCCTCTCCGACATCTTCACTGCTGTGCGCCGGAGAGCTCCTCACGTTCGTCTCTGCGGTACAACAGCAGACAGCAGTGATGTAACTGAATTGAGCCCGAGCGGTGGTGACTATGCACGTAGCCTGTGATCTAGCACTTTAGAGGTGAGGCCTGGTGGGTGGGTGGCACGGGTGGGTGGGTAGATGGCTTGGTGGGTGGGTTGATATCTGGCTTGGTGGGTGGGTGGCACGGGTGGGTGGGTGGCACGGGTGGGTGGGTTGGTGGGTGGGTTGATGTCTTGGTGGATGGATGGTTTGGTGGGTCGGTGGCTTGTTGGATGGGTGGGTGGGTGGCTTTGTGGATAGCTAGGACTGCAATTCACCAACACTCAGACAAGGCAAGTGAACGGCTGAACGGAATGTCCTACAGTTGCTCCACGTGAGCCGAACGAGAGTAGAGGGAAGCCTCCGAGAAGCGGCCGAGACCCGGTGCACGTTACTGGGCCATCGGTCCGCAGGCCCACAGGGGCCCGACCTGCCCACACACGACCGCCCACGCACGATCGTTGGGCCCCTTGGCCCATCCGCTAGCGCCATCCCTGACCCCGTGCCATCATTGCCGAGCCGCTCACCGCGATTGGCACTGCCCACAGTCGCGGAGCCCCCCTCCACGACGGAGCCGCCGTCGGATTCATCGGTAACGTCTCCGGCACCATCGTCGAAACCTCGCGGCTCGTCGTGCGTCTCGACAACGCCGCCGCCGCCGGAGCCGGGGCATTTCTCCACCACCTCGCCCGTGTCCTCCTCCTTCACCTTCTGCTGCTGCTCCTCCATCTCCTCTTCGAGCTCCTCCTCCTCCTCCTCTTCAAAATCCTCCATGTATTCATTCGGTGCTGATCGGAAGAAAGGATTTGAGGTCGGGACAAAACACTGAATAAGATGGGCAGATAACAGGGCTCAGTTTCGCTGGTGTATATGTCAGGTGACTCGTGGCCCCGGCCCCCTAGCGTGCGGTATACTGAATGTGGTGTGCCGGAACAAAAATAATATTCCAGGTCGCCAACCTGGTTGTGATCAAGCTCGGGGTAGTGAGGTAGTCGGTATGTATTCAAAACAAAGATTCATCAACAAGTAACTGTGATCGCGATCAAAATACACCTTTGTCATCATGAGCCATGATCGTATCCACTGCTGGATGAAGGCCTCCCATCTCCAATGCCATCATCCCTCGCGGTTTTGCGGTGTTTGGGCTGATGGGTGTAAATAGTTTTCATTTCAATAACAATGGCGAGGATGGTAGCCCGGGACACTTAGCTCGGTTGGTATCGGATATTTGCAATCGAAATTGTGTTTAATTTTCATCTTCTTGGTTCTTTCACGTGACTTTACCGAAAGAACCAAGAAGATGAATCCCAGCAGTCACGAAAGCTTTAACTCGAAATTTAACCACCACTACGGGGTGGGATTCCACAAAACTTTACGTGACTTTACCGAAAGAACCAAGAAGATGAATCCCAGCAGTCACGAAAGCTTTATATCGAAATTGTGTTTGATTGTTGGGTTGAATCATAGCAGCATGGTGAGTGTGACGGCTTGGAAAGAGGCCTTCATCCAGCAGTGGATACATCATAGCTGATGATGATGATGAGAATGCGTGTCAACAATCACAGATGAATGTGGATCGGCCCAGAGTCGACTTTACCCCAACAGTGGACAGATCACGGCTAACGACGAAGACGGCGAGTGGCTACGATGTCACGATAACGAGTGTGACGGCTTAGGGGCGGGGGGGGGGGGCGTCATCCAATCCAGCAGCGGAGTTAGATCGTAGCTGCTGACGGTGACGGTGACGTTTACGATGAACGTGACGACATGGGGAGGCCTTCATCCAGCAGTGGGTGGATGGTCGCGATGGGCAGCAGAGGCACCTGTTTTTCCACTGCTTGCCGCGGCTTCATCTCTGTCACCGTCACCGTCATCATCGTCGTCATCGTCGACGTCAACGTCCTCCTCCTCGTCGTCGCTCTCTCCACTGTCGCTCTCCTCTGTCGACGAGTGCTGCTCCCGCTGCTGCTGCTGTAGCGGCTGCTCGACGCTCTCCGTCCGCGGGGGCTCCGTGTGCGCCGCTCGCTCGCGATCGCCCCCCTTGCGCTTGGCCGGCGGGAAGGGCTGGATGTCCAGCCCCTGGGCGATGATGCACCTGGCCACGAGGTGGCATCACAGGGACATTTTAGGCATTTAATACATTTATGGGGTCACCGCTTTTACGACGTCGTGAATCGAGATCCTATTTTCGTCATAGACAACGGTAGAAACGTCACTTGCAGGTGTTTTTTTCTTCCTTTTATCGGCGCTATTTGTCGGGATTGAATGGGTTCATAAAATCTACAGAAAACAATCGAGAATAACAAAACCTCCACGCCGAGTCACATCGGAAACCGGACCGGAGTCGTGTCGGAAGATACGTCGCAAATCGAGTATCTGCGTCTTAAATCGATCCGTGGTGGCATTATATAACTGTCGTAAATTTGGACCGTCGTAGAGCCGAGCCTGCTCATGTTTCGAAAGAGGTTTTGTACAAGAGAGACACCCGTCACAGATCAATTTACGCTGAAACCATCTTAAAATTTTACGTTAAAAAAAACAAACTCAGTGCAAGAGCCTCCTCAAAACGGGTCTTACGGCTGAGTGTCACTCTCCTTGTTAAATAAGTAGGAGTGGTGGAACTACATGGGATAGGTGTGCGCAGAGACGGACGGAGTTCGCACTCCGAGAGGTAGCTGAGACTCGCTCGCCCGGGAGAGCCAGACAGACGGAGCCGCCGCCAGGGGCACACGCAGGTGGAGGTTGCTGTCGATATCCTGGCTGTTGGCTCGGGCCAATACTTTGGTGCCGGCCTTCACCACGTGACTACGGTCAGGGTTACCGATACAGCCACCATATTGCTGGCAGGGTTAAAGCTGGCAACCCCTCCCTCCCTGCTACAGGCCCCGCCCACGTTCACATAGCCACACCCACTCGACCACTAGCCCGTCCAGGCAGTGAAAGTGGTGGCCTCGCTGCTCTCTCTCCTGGGTTAACCCCACGGCGCCCGACAACCACAGTTGGCGGCCGCTCCCTGTCACCCCCCCCCCGTGCGATCTCCCCGCCCCCCAGGCAATCACCGGTAGCAGGGTGCGGCGCCCTGCACGCCCGTGAGGCTGAAGTGCGACAGGCGCCCCCCGCTGAGTCGGCCGCCTTGCCGGTGGCGGAACTCGCAGCACCAGCTGAGCCGGCCGATCAGCAGGCCGTCGACGTAGAGCGACAGGCTGAAGGGGAACCCGCCGAGCCGACGCGACCGGAACCGAAACGCCTCTGTGGGGGAGGGGGGGGGAGGTGGGCGGAAGGGGGACAGGAGACAATTGGCATTAAGCAGGGTGGTGGCAAAGGTGGGCTCTGAGGTGTTATAGGCCGCGGTGCCGAGATGTTAACTCTCTCGCCTGGAATGCAAGGAGGTCGTCAGTTCGATCCCGACCCTGGCGCTTGCTGTATATTTGGAGCGTGCATATCTCTCCCCGTGGTCACGTGGATTTTTGTGCGGGACCGCCAGGTTTCCCCCCCCCCCCCCCCCACATTTAGAATCAACATCACGCGTTTGTCTGCAATACATTTCCACGCTACGATAAGCCCCTTTCGTTGAGCTGTCTTTTGTGGCCATGTTCGCTTCTAAAAAAAGAAGAGCTAGATAGCCTCACCTGGTAATCTAAAATTGTATTACATTTTCTTAAAAAATATATCTATGTATCTTCTTGGTTCTTTCGGTAAAGTCACGTAGAAGGGAAGTAATAAAATAATAAAAATAAAACAAAACAAATTAATTCTCACGCCGTTACCTCCTCTTTTCAAGCGACCGTGGAACACGCAGAGGCTCTCCCCGCCGCAGTGCTGCTGCATCACGCGCACCTCGTCGCCCAGCACCTGCTCTCGCGACGGGCGCCCGCGCTTGCCCAGGTACACCATGGAGACCTCCACAGTGGCGGTGGCGGTGGCCGCGCCGCCGCCGCGGGGCTGGGGCGGGCGAGGGACCAGCGTCCGCAACCGCGGCTGGGAGCCGGAGCCAACCTACGGGGGAGGGGGGACGTGGGGAAGGGGTTTTGTGTGAGTGTCTATGTTGAACTTCTTTCGCACCGTACGTAGACGACCGTGCTCATCGGACGGTGCGGAGGGGGGGATAACAAGCTAATCACAAAAATCAGTTTGACAGAAATTTGTTTTCAATCGACTAAAGCAATTGAGTTTCCATTCCGAGGGGGCCGTCGCTGTGAGATGAGAACAAGAACCAGGGCTGGATGGCTGCAATGGCGAGAGATGACTGGTGTGGTGTGCGATAAGAGGGTCCCAGTTTGGTTGGAGGGAAAAGTGGGCAAAACGGTGGTGAGGCCGGTGCTGTTGTACACCTTTGTCATCTTGAGCCGTGATCTTATCCACTGCTGGATGAAGGCCTCCCATCTCCAATGCCATCATCCCTCACGGTTTTGCGGTGTTTGGGCTGATGGTCTAAATAGTTTTCATTTCAATAACCCCTCCATCACCCGACACAGCCAGTAAGGTTTGTCACGTAACCAACGAGCCAATTAGTTACTACTTCAGCCCACAGGTGTGTTGAAGAGTAAATCCCCGACATTCACAATTTGAGTAGTACGACGTTTCGCTGCTAATTACATCCAGCATTATCGGGCGATTTGCCAGAATAATGAAGCCATCCACCTGCGTCTTAAACAGAGCAGCAGAACGACATCATCACTGCCCCCATCAGATGGGTCTCTGTCTGTGCTGGGCCGTACTGCGTTCAGTTGGGCGGGCCAGGGTATGGGCATCTCCCCTCCCCCCTAATGCCCACGCTCGATCAGCAGAAGCGACCCATCGGCCGTTACCTTGCCGTCGCCCTCCGCCGGGGGGCTCGCGTGGCCCTGGGAGGCCGAAATCCGGAGCACCCTGCCGCGTCTCGTGCCGAGGGGTTGCGCGGACGTTCGACTCCTGAGCGCCTCGTTGCTCCGGGAGTTGAGCTGCTGCTGGTGGTGGTGGTTGGAGCCGGTGCTGGCGACGCGGTTGCAGATGAGTGGAAGGACGTAGGGCGACGGTGGCGGGTGAGGCTCCACCAGAAAGGTGGTCCGGCCTGTGAGCTTCTGCAGCATCTCTCGTTCTAGCTGGATCGTCGTCACACAACATCGCCACGACATCGTCGACAACTTCAGTTGTTGTCCATTGTCTTGGTCGCCTCCGCATCGCTGCTCCATTGCGACTACCGTGGTTACTGTTCCCGTGAACTTGGCTCAGTAACTCCACCACACTGGCTGTTCAGTCTCATCTAACTACTCACTCACTAAACCCTTCACTCACCTACCCACTCACTCACCTAACCACTCACTCAACGCTTCATTCACCGACTCACTCACTCAACCCTTCACTCACCTACCCACTCACTCATCTAACCACTCACTCAACTACCCACTCACTCAACCCTTCACTCACCTACCCACTCACTCACTCATCTACCCAATCACTCATTTACCCACTCACTCATCTACCCACTCACTCACCCCTTCGCTCTCTCATTCCACGGGTCTCTAGCTATGCCCATTGCTCTCGATGTAACGCTTCTTTTCCACGAAGCCGCCGGAACCCGCGTGTCGCCTCCCCTGGGCACCGTGCTGACTGAAAATTAGCGGCCGATTAATCTTTCTCAATTTTATCAACTTTGCACAACTCGGCCACGAGGACCAAGGCGTTGTTTTAAACTATTAAACTATTTATTTATTTTACCAGGTAAGGACCATTGAGCTATATAGCTCTTTTTCAGAAGCGACATTGCCACAAATGATAGTCAGGGGCTTATCATGTGGAAATGTATTGCAACCAAATACTCTAAGGGTATCTTGGTTCTAAATGTGGAAGGAAAAACCGGAGGACATGGAGCAAAATCCACACGACCACGGGGAGAGAGAGAGAGACACGCAAACTCCAAATATACAGCAGGCAGTCAGGGTCGGGATCGAACCCACGACCTCCTGCGTACCAGGCGAGGGAGTTAACATCTCCAAGCCACCGTGGCGCCCCCTTTAACACCTGGACGATGATCGATGGGCATAGTTTGGCCATCGCTCGGGCCGGCTCACCTGGTTGAGTCGCGTGGGGCAGGGCAGGCTGACCGCGGTGCGAAGCGGCTGCAGTCGCTGGGGCCGCGAGCTCTGTTCGGGCGCCGTCAGAGGACGGCTCGACTCCTCGGCCTGGCACCGCAACCGGTTGTGGTCAGTTGCATGCAACCGGTTGCGCACAGTGGCGCATCTCGTCGCCGGGTGACAACATTTTTCCAACACTGATTGGCCAATTCCATTCTATTCGAGCCCCTATTTACAACCTTCCATCGACTACCGGTGTTGTTGTTGTTGTCCTGGCTTTGACCGCACGCTCGCGCGGGCCCCTGTCGAGAATGCCCTGAAGCTTGGACCTCGCTCAAGAGGCCCTCGCTCAAGAGGCCCTCGCTCAAGAGGCCCTCGCTGGACCAAGTGGACCTCGCTGGCCGCTCCCACAATTCACGAGCGACTCTCGTTTCATCTCGCCTCTCATGCCGCCCCCCTCCACCCCCCATTATGACAAAGCAAACCTTTAGATTGCCGCATCATGGTATGCTGAATTCATGGCATTCTGTCCCCGGGCCTTCAGTAACTTGTGGGCGGCCCTGACGGCGAGTGGACTCTTAAGCCCCCCTCCTTCTGCCTTCGCCTCGTAAGTGCGGTAATTGGCGTGAGCCGGTGGAGGAGTGGGGGTAGGGGTGGGGCGAGGTTATCGGGCTTTTTAACAATCATGTTGACCTCTCTCCGACCCCATAGAGGTCACGGCTCAATGCGACACTCGTACAAAATAACAGCCACTGAAGTGGAATTTTGCCCTCCAACGCCCTACTCGTCGCTGGCACTTGAAGCGAACCTGAAATGTGAACCTGTGGGTAATATTTTATTTAGTTATTTTTTTTATCTTGTGCCATTGAAGCCGGCCAGATATAAAACCGCGCTGTCAAACTGCACAGTCCGTTGTTCATCCACTGCTGGATGAAAGCCCCTTCCCCATGCCGCGTCCATCCGCACAGTTGGTGGCAGCGCTCTCCCAACCGCGGCGCCACGGAGAGTGGCGTTCGCTGTCGCATGGCAAGTCACCACCAGCGCCTTTAACTTCATCCAGTTTTAGTGCAGAACCAAATTTAACGTCACGGGGTTTGTGCGTGTGTGTATGCAGTAATTGTGACCGTGTAGAGAGGCACGTCAACTCACTACGCCTGAGAACCCAACGTAATCATCACCCACAGGTCTGGTGCGCGTCTATGTGTCCCTGCTCCAGTCCGTGGCTTTCTCACAGACGGCTGAAACTGAAACCCGAATCATTCCAAACCCGGGTTCCCAGCGGTGCCAGCTTACCCGCCCTGCCACGCTAAGCCACCTGGCTACCCACATGGGGGTGGCGCAGTGCAATGCGTGGGGGGAGAGGGGGTGGGGGGGGTGGGGGGGGTGGAGGGGCACCTCTGCGGAGCTGGTTGCCGTTGGCGACTCTGGGGAAGCGCCGTCGCTCGTCCCTCCGCTCCGAGGCCCCGTCCTGCGCTCAGGCGGAGGGTGCGGCTGAAGGATTCGCAGCGCGTCTCTCTCCGCCTGCTGCCCGCGAGCCGTCTGCATCGCACGCGCGCACCCGCAGAGGCCGGCGGCCAGGGCTCCCGTTTGGCACCGCGAGGGTGGTTCGCGCGAGAACCAGGTGCACACCTTTGCGCATCGGTTGCGCAACTTGGTTGAATGCAAGGTAGTCAGTTGTCTTATTGTGTTGGCCATGCACACGGGGTAACATACAAGTATCGTTATCATTCGTAGAACGTCGAAATGTCAACGCATCTCGATATGCCGTTCGTCCGTGTCTCGCTTTGCATTGCAGTCATGTTGCGGCAGAGCGAGCGGCTCGCATTCACAGATAGTCACGAGTCTAAATGATGATTGGGGGGAGGGTTTTGACTCGGCACATCATCTTCTCCCTCCAGCGGTCGATACAAATGAGCACCACACAACAGGCGGCTGTCGTATGGAATGTGCCCACAATTGTCCCAGGGCTGTGAACGGGCGGTGAGCTCCACCTCGGCGCTCAGGAAATCGCGATGGCTTTTGTCGAGATCGGCTCATCACTGCCCGATATGCCAAAGGGGGATCACAAACGCGAGCAATGGCGGGGGAAATGGGCAACAACAACAACAACAACAAAACACAAATTTGAGAAGCGCGCAATGAGGTGTGGATATGTGCACGTTTGGGACGTGCAAGATATTTTGAAACCATCTCTGATTGTTGGTGTTGGTGTTGTTATGTGGTGCGTTTGTTTAATCGCAGACGCACCCACGACGGAGGCACGGCCCCGCGGCTGTACTCGACACACCCCACCTGTATCCTCCGAATCCTCTTCAGCTTGGATATCTCCTCCAGCTTTCGTCGGATGGCCGCCTGCCTGTAATGCTGTATGGCCGGGGGTGGGGGGGGCGAACAAATACAAACGGGATGGTTGAAACGAGACTCAAATTTTTTTTTTCTGAAATCAAATCGTTAAATTTCGTGGATCGTGATAACTGTTTTTTTACCCTTTTATCTGGCAACAAAACTGACACCTTTTTTTACAAGGCGTCATCTGGTCCCTCTCTGTCCAATGCGTTGGCGTGTGCAGCAGTTTGTCGCTTGCGCACAATCGCTTCCACGCCGTCGCCCACCCTTTTGGCCCAGCCCCCCCCTCCCTACCGATACGTTCCATTCATTGGCTACCACATTCTGATGAGCTCCCCCCCCTCTCCTCCCCCCTCAACTCGCTTTTAAGGGATTACATCTTGAATCATGGCCTCACTTGATGCAGCTAATCTGGCTGTGACGGTCCCACCTGATGACGGAGACTTGTGTTGCCTCCGAAACGTCGTGATCTTTATTTTATTTTATTTTTATTAATTTTGATGTTTTACCTACGTGACTTTACCGAAAAAACCTAAGAATACAAACATGACTCCTTGTAAAAAAGGTGTCAGTTTTGTTGCCAGATTAAAGCGTAAAAACAATTATCATATTTTGCTACTGGCAAAGGAGGTTCCAATGGTGTTCGTGGATCGTGTTATAGAAGGGTCCGAGGAAGTAGATCACACACAACTACTTGGGAGATGCGCGTGTCTATGTCTGTGCGTGGTGGGGGCGGTTAAAGCGCAGCTAGTTGGCACAGTGGGTGAGCACCGGTGGTGCATCTGCCAGTCTTCTCAGTCAACCCGTGGCACCTGCGTCTCTCCCGTGCCCCCCCCCCGCCCCTCCAGCGAGACTTCGACACTTTCACGTTGCTTCGACGTGTACCTAGCCTGGCACAAGCACCGTAGTCACGTCATCGCCACCTCGTGGCGAACGGCGGTGTAGCGATGAGCGCAAGGGCGCTACGAACCCGACCACCCGAGTTCGATTCACGCTCACCGCCAACACCAGTGATGATTATTTGAATCAGTCACGGGCCTCCCCTAGGTCGACTCGGCCTAAACATCGCCACTTGGGAGACAAAACCGCCCAGGCGTGGTGCTGACCACCCACCCCTTCGTGCCGCTGTGCCGGCCTCCGTGGGTGCTACTCGCTAACAGCGCTTTTCCCCAAACACTCCGTGACTGCTATACGGGGTGGGGGGGGGGGAGAGGGGTCTTTGCACGCGTCGAGTCCGACCTCCATGTGCAGGGCCTTGTCCAGGATGGCCTGAGCCAGCACCTCCCTCACGCGCTCCTGGTGCTCCTTGCGCGCCACCTGCAGCTTGTAGGCCCTCTCCGACACCAGCTCCCCGCTGCGCTTGATCTGCCGCACGCCACGCCGCGCATCGCACGCCACACAATCGATGTGACAATTACAATTGACCTCTCTGTCTACCTGTCTAGGAGGGTCACGCGCAGAGAGTCGTAGGAGTGTTTTTCAGGAGGGCCCTGCTGCTGCGTTGCGTTTTGTATGTTCACAGCCACTCAATGACGCGTTGTGTGTTGTTGTTATTGTTTTTCTTCACGTACGAGGAAGACATCGAAGCACCCCCGTAGAAAACCCCACGCCTTGCGCGAGGGGGCAACGCTCTATATCCCCGTACAGATAGAAACAGATGGCAGTTTAACACTCATTCGGCTTTCGCGACCAATATCCATAATAGAGTGTTTTGGGTTAGATCGCGTAAATATATAAATGTGTCGTTAAAACCCACCACCACCCGACACAGACAACTAGTAATGTTTGTCACGTAAACAGAGCATATTCTGGCTGTCGCCTGATGAAGCTAGTTGTAATTATTGGCGAAACGTCGTACTCAGATTGTAAATATTGTGGCTTGGCTCTCCAACACACCGGTTAGTGCTGTACTAATGAAACAGATGTCAATGAATCCACTTGCTGTACCGCCTCCTACCTGGCGAACCAGGGCCACCGACACCTCATCGACGGCCCAAACGGGAAGGACATTTCACAACATCTGTGTGCGCGGTGACCCACCAACCCCCGCTGCCGCCTCCACAGTTGCTGGGGGTTACAGGCAGCCACGTGCGGCACCATCGCCACCATAACCACCATCACCACCATCACCACGGCGACGGTTCACTCACACGGGGAATTCGCCGCCCCTTGCTGACTGCCGTAGCGGGCAGCAGTGGGGAAGTCACGTGATTCGCGCGGATTCTCATCCCCTGGCCTCGCTGCCTTTTCTCTCTCTCTGTGTCTGCCGCTCGTCAACTCACCAGTCCAACCCTGCGCAGGTGCCGTCTCATGCGGGCGCTGCTGAAGTAGGCGGCCAGGTGTTTGTCCTCGAGGCTGTTGTACGCGGCCAGGGGCCTTGAGGGTGGTGAATGGAGGGACGATGGGTCAGAGGATTAGGGAGCAGTCGTGTAATTTTCATGGGTTTAGATACGAAAAGTTAAAAAAAATCGTTTTGTGTACCCAAAAATCAGTTTGACTGAAATGTGATCAACATTGCTCTGGAGTCGTGCGGTTGGGAACGTTTAGTGTGGATAGGACGGAAACAAACTCACGGGTGGTTATGTACGGTGCGAAAGAAGTTCAACATACATACATAGCACGTCAATAACATTGTGACCACTATGGGGACCTCATTTGCCAGTAAAAATAGGATAATTGGTTCTTTACCCTTCTATCTGGCAACAAAACTGACACCTTTTTGCAAGGAGTCATGTTTGCATAGACCGCAATACCTGCAGTCATAATACAAACAAAAGAACAGCTGTCTCGGGTGTGGACCAATCAACTTCAAGGACAGTGCACATTATCAGAGTTATGCTCTTTTGTTTGTATTATGACTACAGGTATTGCGGTCTATGCAAACATGACTCCTTGCAAAAAGGTGTCAGTTTTGTTGCCAGATAGAAGGGTAAAGAACCAATTATCAACATTGTGACCTTAATTATTTATTCACGTTCCATATTGTTTCCTTCATTGTTGTCGTGAATAAACTAGCAGCGTGTGACCGTCCCTCGCTCTCTCCCTCCCGCCAGTCAGCAAACAACATTATTTCTAACGTAGTATAATTTCAATTGTACAAATTGTGTAAAGCCCCGTCACTCACCAACCGTTTCATATTGCTTCACGGAACACCAATTAGGCCAAATGCTTCCACGTCGTTTCACTGCCATCCATTACCTCTGGTGTTGAATATGCCATGACAGACTCTATTGTAGCCCATTACTCGATTGTGTATCTAATTACGACGCCTGTCAAGTGCCTTCGTCCCCCATTGTGTACGTCATGTTTTCTATTGTGTACCTAATTACGTAGGCTATTGTGCGTGTAATGATGCCCCCCTTATTGCGTATCTAAATGAGATATTTCAGGGGCAATGTTGGGCTGGGAGCATGAGTTCACCCTTGAGAAAGAGGCTGCAAGTCTTGGTGGGTTCTCACCCCGTAGGGTAAACCTCGCAAATGCAATATTACATCCCTTATAACCAGGTGGAGCTGTGGCGCAGTTGTTAGCGCACTGGGCTGTGGGAGTGACGAGTGGCATTCCTGGCCCTGTTTCATATCTGAAGCGGTGCGGTGCCCTTACTCCACTTCACCGACCAGCGTGGTGAAGTATGGTCAAACAGCCCACCCCCTCCCCCCACCATGACCGACAGTGTGCGGAGGCCTTGATCCAGCAGTGGGATTGATAGAGGGCTCTACGTTATAGTACATCGGAGTCAATGATAATTTATCATATAACAATATTACTGTTAGTTATATCAACCAGGTGAAAAGCCATTGAGATTTAAATTATAATTTTAAAAGGCAGATTTTGTTCAAAACGAGAACAGACAATGTTTCAGTGCGAAGTTGCTGCAAGTGCTAATATTCGTAAACAATTTTCGTAAACAAAAACACGCACGAGATCTTAGACGTCAGAGACACAGCAACTAAAGGTGAACTCGAAAGTAAATATTACCGGTTCCACAAGCGGTGTATCGAATAAGAGTTCAGCAAAAAAAAGGTTAACGTGCATGAAAAAAAAAACCTCAATGAATATCGCACACGGTTACAACTCGTTAGATAGCAAGCTCATTTAAGTGACCTTAGCAGGCCTGGGAGGCTTGATCTTCACGCGTGACCTTATCTGCGTTTCGAGTACTCGACCCCAGGTAATCAAAGCTTCACCATCTCAGCATCAAGGGTTTGGTGGCGGCCTCGGCAGCAGACGGCCGCCCTCTAAGTCCTCTTCTCGCAGGGGCCCTGGGCTCAGATCCACTCGCAGCTGAGCGCTCACGACGGGACAGCGCGGCAGTGTGGGCCACACAGCCATTAGCGCGCTGACCTTTTGCGCGTTGCGATCAATTTGTATCTTTGACCTCTGTTGATTGCGTCGAGCTGCGTCCAATTATTTTTGTCTTTGTTTGCTTGCGTTTTTTTTTATTTTAAATAATACTGGCCGTTCTGTTTCCTGAACATTGGATATATTTTCAAGGGCACCAGATGTTAACTAGCTCGACTGGTATACAGGAGGTCGTGGGTTCGATTCTGACATCTGTGTATTTAGAGTTTGCGTGTCTCTCCCCGTGGTCGCGTGGATTTTTCTCCGGTTCCTCGGGTTATTCACTCCACATTTAAAATCAACATCACGCGTTCAGAGTATTCGGCAGCTGTATATTTCCACAAGATAAGCCAATTCGTTGGGCTATCTTTTGTGGCATCCACGACGCTTCTGAAAAAGAGCTACGTAGCTCAGTGGGCCTTGCCTGGTAAAATAAAATAAACATTGTTTATTTTATATTCTTGGTTCTTTCGGTAAAGTCACGTTAAAGGGAAATAATACAATAATATTTATATAAAAAATGCAAATTCTCACGACGTTTCGACTGCAACACAAGCAATCATCATCAGGTGTGAAATCCACAGAAAGACATTTTCTTTCCGTGGACATTTTCTTTCTGTGGATTTCTTTCTGTGGATTTCACACCTGATGATGATTGCTTGTGTGGCAGTCGAAACGTCGTGAAAATTTGTATTTTTTATATAAATATTATTTCATTATTTCCCTTCTACGTGACTTTACTAAAAGAACCAAGAATATGAATCCCTGCAGTCACGAAAGCTTTAAATCAAAATTGTTTATTTTAGTTTAGATTTTCGTGACGCATCTTTTCCATGTGTGTGTTTTAGGACACGTTATGTCAACGGTGCATTACTTACCTTTGTGTTTTACAACAGCATTGGTAACTGAATACCATTCTCAACAGAGGTTGGTACATCTATATAACACGTAGGCTTCCGCGACCAAAACTATGATTCATAACATGGGGGGGGGGGGGTTATGACAGACAAGTGACTGACACGATCTGACCTAAAAAGCAATTATTAATCGCCATTCTCAACAGTTCTGCCTGCGTGTGCAAGATATCAGCAGGGCCTGAGTGTGGGAGATATTTACCAGGCCCTGTGTGCAGAAAATAAACTAAAGCTAAACTATGTTTTTTAATGCACCAGGTAATGCCCACTGAGCTATACAGCTCTTTTTCAGAAGCGACCTGGCTGCCACAAATGATAGCCCAACGAAATGGCTTATCACGTCGATAATGTATAGCAGCTGAATACTCCAAACGTACGTTTATTCTAAATGTGGAAGGAAAAACCGGAGGACCCGGAGAAAAATCCACGCGACCACAGGAAGAACATGCAAACGAAAAATATACAGCAGCAGGCGTCAGGGTCAGGATCGAACCCACGACATCCTTTATACCAGGCGAGGTAGTTAATATCTCACCTCCGCGGATATTGACGTGTCTATGTCGCGATGCTCGTTTATTCGCTTGAGCTGAGTGGGGGTTTCTTCACGATGTGCGGGTGAGGCTTGTGTGTCAACAGCATCGCACTCGCGATCGTCATCGTCGTCGTCGCAATTACCGCGAATTGCCAATTAGCGTGCGCGTGGTCCGCTCACCTCGTGAATGCGATAATTAAGCGACTGTAGATTTCCTCCCAGGGACATGCATCCTGCGGTACGGAGCAACCAATGCTGTAGCTAGGAAAGTGTGCGTTTGGCAATTAAAAAATGCCTTACATCTCATCTCAACCATTCCTATTCTCATTCTGTCGTCGAGCCAAGGGGACCTTCCTGGTGGCAGCTGCGCCTGTGCGGCACGGGGCTAACACGGCACGGGTTGAACACGGCACGGGTTGAACACGGCACGGGGTCAACACGGCACGGGTTGAACACGGCACGGGTTGAACACGGCACGGGGTTAACATGGCACGGGGTCAACACGGCACGGGTTGAACACGGCACGGGTTGAACACGGCACGGGGTCAACACGGCACGGGTTGAACACGGCACGGGTTGAACATGGCACGAGGCGACGCGGCACGGGTTGAACACGGCACGGGTTGAACACGGCACGGGGTCAACATGGCAAGGGGCGAACACGGCACGGGGCGAACACGGCACGGGTCCAACACGGCACGGGTCCAACACGGCACGGGTTGAACACGGCACGGGTTGAACACGGCACGAGGCGAACACTGCACCGGGCGAACACGGCACGGATCCAACACGGCACGGATCCAACACGGCACGGATCCAACACGGCACGGATCCAACACGGCACGGATCCAACACGGCACGGATCCAACACGGCACGGATCCAACACGGCACGGATCCAACACGGCACGGATCCAACACGGCACGGGTCCAACACGGCACGGATCCAACACGGCACGGGTCCAACACGGCACGGGCGGGCCTGTACATGTGCCGGTGCTTGCTGCCGAAGCGGTAAAATATGGGCACCTTTTTTTCCTCACGTGACACCTTTATTAATTGGCTGTGCCGGGTGGAGGAGGGGTTTGCAACACATGTTGTACTAACGCAGCGACCTGACCCAAAACAGAATGAATAACGAATCACAGCAATTATCATTATAATGGTCACAGCGGTCCCCTCGACCCCGCCAGCGTGCGCGTCCTGCAGCGGCACACAGCGCTGTGTTAGGCGCATCGTATTTTTATGTTCTTTTAATTTCTAAATTAGCGCGTTCGTGTTCTTAGGCGAGCGCGACCTTTCCGTGGAGCGCGCGGCTCCGCTGTTGCTACGGCTCTGAACGTCTAAACACAAACACGAAGAGGAGGCAGCGAACGGCTCTTTCGTTAGCGCTCCGCGTCGAACCTCAATCGCCGCTAACGTCCTCCAACTACAACCCCACACCGACCGGCGGCCGCCCGGAGGAGCTAGGCCGTGTTCCACATTCCATGCTCGCTTCTTTGTTTTATTTTTACCAGGCAATGCCCCCCCCCCGCTCTTTTTCAGAAGCGACCTGGCCACAAATGATAGCTCAACGAAGTGGCTTGTCGCGTGGAAATCTATAGCAGTTGCCAATTAATCTCAACGCACGTTTCTAAACGTGGAGGGGAAAAAACAACGGAGGACCTGGAGAAAAATCCACGCGACCACGGGGAGAGAGAGACGCGCAAACTCCAAATATACAGCAGCAGGCGTCGGGGTCGGGATAGAACCCACGACCTCCTGCACACCAGGCGAGGGAGTTAACATCTCCTAGCCACCGCGCCTGCGAAGTCCCTCTACCGTGCGGCAGCAGCGGAGTTTGCGTCGGCAACGTTCAGGAGCTCACGCCTGAGGTTGCCGAGCGAGCGACTTGGTGACGGATGGCCTCGAGGGTCAGCCTCGTGGCGAGCGGCAGAACCGCTGCTGGCGAACTATCAAAGAGAGCAGTGGCGTTACTCGGTTGTCCCTGGTCAGAGACAAGAGACTCACGCGGAGATCCATAGAATCCCCACAGACTCGTGTAGCGATATCCACGGAGAGGCAGGCACAGGTGGATCAAAGTGATGAGCTACAATGTGAAGGACTGCAGAGAGGATGTGTAGACGGTGGTCTGGGACAGCGGGGGGGGGGGGGCACACCCCACATATCAGTGGGGAATGATGCCAAGAGGGAGAAGTGAATTGCGTGGCAAATGGAATTTAACGTGATGTTTTGTTTGTGTAGTCACTGGTGACCTGGCCGAGGCCACCGACTCACGACGCTTGAGAACGCTGACTAATTGTGAGCAAACGAACCCCGTGTTTGAATCCAACATCTCGAGCGTGCTGGCTAAGTGATGTGGCCTCTGAGCCACGCAGTCAGCCCCCTGTTGCATTTTCAGTTCTACGCGACCCTTTTTGCCGGGCGCAAAACGATGAAAAATGAATCCGCTTAAGACATCACGGCAAAGACTACAAGAGGTGTTAAGGAAGGTCAAACACCAAATAAATAACACCTATCCCAGGGCATCATCAAGTTTGGATTAACCACACATCATGCTTGTGGTAGACACGCAAACAAACACGCGTTGATAATAATGTCATCTTTGAGACTGATTGGCCTACACCAGAGCTACAGCCTCCTTCATAGCTGTGCCTCTGCACCACCGGTGTAAGACCAGAGAGCACCGCCAAAACATCACAAGAACAATGCAAATATCAAAGCGGTGATAGCAGTTACGGGACCTCATTATTGATACCGTCAAACTGAATACGTCTAAGTACAGCCCCGTGTCTATCCACTGCTGGATGAGGGCCTCTGCGTATCACGTGCCGGTCGTGGGGGGTCCATCGCGTCACCACGCTGCTCAGTGCGGGTTGGCGAAGGCGGAGAGCGGAGCGCGTGGGAGCATATATATGTACGGTACAACAACGGACCTTGCTGTGCTTGCCATCTGATCTCCGTCACACCGAGATCTCCAGCAAACACGAACCTACCTGTACGGAAAGTGTTTCGCGGGGGATGCTGTCGAATGGTTTGTTAGCACACTGGGGGCTGGCAACGCAGAGGTTGCCGATGTGGGAGCACAGAATACAGTACAACAATTGATGTGGCTGTACTTGTCGCCCCGCAACAGGCGATGGCACCGCTCGTCAGAGCGTGCTTGCAGGCTCGGCGCTGCTTCGCTGGACGTGTTCGCTGGCAGCAACGAACAGAGCGAGCGAGCTGTCACCACCGTGCGATGCTGGGCGTGGATGATGGAGACGGCTGTGCGCCAGACTCCTGCCGTTATTTGGAATGATCATCGTGATGATGGTGATGATGATGATGATCTTGTACCCGGAACCCCAATGTACGAGCGATTGTAGGAGATTTATTTGTAAGCGATGTCGCCATTCAAATGCGGTGTCTGAGAGTTGGTGAATTGCAGTTACACCCAAAGACGAAGATCCCCCGTATAGCCTCAACATACTGTTGGGGCAAGTGCTGAAGGCCGGCAAGGCACACGATGGGGTGGTTGGCCAACACCACGTCCGGTTGGCTTTGTCTCCCCAGTGACGATGTTTACACACAGCACCAGATGATCATTTGAGGCTGAGTCTACCTAAGGGAGGCCCAGGACCGGTTCAGATAATCGTCACTGGTGTTGGCCGTGAGCCGGAATCGAACGCGGGTCGCCAGGTTCGTAGCGCAGCGCGCTAACCGCTACACTACCGCACCCACCCACTTGCTCACCCACTCACTCAATCAAACCACCCGCCGACTCACTCACCTATTCACTCGCTCACCCACCCACTCAAACGCTCACTCGCCCACCAACCTACTCGCCTTCACATTTATATCTGGGGCAATGCGACGTGCCACATTCCATGTCTCGGTGTTCGTACGCCACAGTCGCACACAGGAGCAAGAGAGACAGAGAGAGACACACACACACAGCCAGACAGCGAGAGAGTTTCTCATCCCCGACTCGCGCGTTCGGCATCCACCGCGATCCTCCGCAGGCAGCAGCAGCGGCAGTAGCAGCGGCAGCGGCGCGTGATTTCGAAACGGAAAAACGTGAAATTAAAACACGGAGCGTGAAGCCGTCGCGGTCAGGGCGTCGACCCTGCCGCGTGCGCCCGCGCGGTTGCGACGGCGGTGGCTTCGCCCCCCCACCCCGCCCCCCACGACTCCCCCACCCCACGACCCCCTAACCCCGCCAGCCCCCACCCCGCCCACTCCACGACGCACGCGGCCCCCCAGGCGGCTCGGCGGCTCCAACGCGCGGCTCGCGCTGCACCCCGCGGGGACGGGGAGGGCCCGAAGCGCGTGGGTGGCGCAGCCCCGCAGGTGCGCGCTCGCTCACGCCACCGCAGGGCAGAGGGAGCCTCCGCGAGTGGCAGCTCGAGCGAGCACCCCCCTCACCCCCACCCCCCACTAAAGGGTATTCAACCTCCTCTTCGACGCTAGCCGGACACCTTTTCAGAGGTGGAAATGCCCACACATCACCCCGCCACGCGCGCGAACTGTCAATCAGCGTCTAAACACCGTCTGTACGTCATAGCAAGTACACGTGCATACTGTTGTGGGGGGAGGGGGGGAGTGCAGGAGGAGGCCCTCATCCAGCAGTGGATAGACCGTGGCTAATCCTGACTGTGAATGCAAATCCGCCGCGCTAATTCCCGCGCTGGGGGCCTCCCAGCTTCTGCGCCCGTCGCCTCTGGACGTCGCGACGTCACGCGCCACCGCCGGCGCTGAGAAAACAAAACAGAAACACCGCGACGCCGCCGGGCGCCATCACCGCCATCCAACTCGGCGGTGGAGAGCGAGCGGGCGGGCGGGCGGCCGTCACGCCGAGCGGCGCTGCAGGGGCTCTTGTAGCCACTGCTGACAAAACACTCAAGCGCTGAGCCCCCCCCCCCTCCCTCCTGCTCCACCGCCCACTTCCCTCTCTCGCCAGCGCCTGAGCAAACATCATCCCGGGGGGGGGTGGGAGGCACGCGCAGAGGTCTCAGCTTTCGTGCTCAAGCCCCTTTGTCGACGGTGGACGCGGCCCACTTACCAATTATCGCTGTCGGGCTGCGGCACGAGCGCTCTCGTTAAGGACGACAGGGCGGCAGCCCCTGCAATTTCCCGCTCACTCGCCCGCTGGTGGAAGGGCCTCCCACCAGAGGGAGCTGTAGAAACCACCTCTCTCTGTCTCTCTCTCTCGTAGGTGTTTTTGGCCTTCTCTTCCACGCCGGATCCCAGACGTCTTGGAAGAGGTGGCAGTAACCACACTTTACCCCACCACCATCACACGCCTGACTGCGGTCGTGAACCCCTTTACACCGCTTGCACCAATTGTCTCACATGCCGCACCGGGAGATTGAATCAAACCGCCCACCGGCTGGACTGCAAGACCGGTGCGCTTCTCACCAATACGCACAAGAGCGACTCTGCGTCGTGCACTTTAGACGAACTAACAAGATTAAATCGTGGGAGTTTTATTGTTTTACATTTGAGTTCACTGCCGACCTTGGGCACCGTCCCCGCCGTCAATCCGTCAGGCGAGCGGCGGGGAGAGTTGCTTCAACAAGTGGCTGGAAATGTATTGCATAACAATAAAGACGCGGCCGTTCTCTCGTTTGTTTAATCTGTCCGCGCTATGGCAACTCGCCCCCTCCCCCCGCCCCGGTAGACATCGTTAGTGGCGGTGCCTCCAGACGCCTCCGCCGAGAGAGACGAGGGCCAGGTCCCCCTTGATCGGCGGTGCCAGCAGCGACACGCGCGCTCCACGCCCTCGATTCCCCTCCACGTGCCCGTCGCGAGTCATCGCCGCGGCAGATGTAATAGGAGGTGGCGAAAAGCGCAGCCCTGCAATGTTTGAAAAAAAAAACTTTTTTTTTTACCAGGTAAGACCCACTGAGTTATGTGGCTCTTTTTTAGAAGCGATCTGGATGTCACAAATTATAGCTTAACGAAGTGGCTTGTCACGTGGAAATGTATGGCAACAGGACGGCTGCTTACGTTGTGGCCGAAACGTCGTGAGAATGTTATCTTATTATGTTTTATCTTTAATATTTAATATTTCCCTTCTATGTGACTTTACCGAAAGAACCAAGAATATGAATCCATGCAGTCACGAAAGCTTTAAATCGAAATTTAACAGCCAAATACTCTAATATGCCTTGCTCATGCCATTGCAAAATCTGTGAGAGCCCCTCTGGATGGTATTTTTTCTTGCAGGGGGTGGGGGCGGTGGTTACTCTTATTGCACGATTGGCCCGGACCATTTTGGAACAAGTGGAAAGGGAGCAGTGTTCGTTTTGTGTCATGGAATCAGTGGCGAAAATAGTTGCCGTGAAGTTTGTTTTACTTTGATCAGCGGTGGCGATGAGTGGGTGAAGAATCAGAGAGCGTGCCGATGACTATGACGGGGCCACTGCCCCCCGACAAAGGTCGAAAGTGCGACCGACCGTGACGAGACGCCACGAGCGAGTCCGAATGACGACGCGTGCGGATGAGAGGCGATGCAGTGGCGTTACGAGCGGTCACGGTGGCGCCGATGAAGACCGAAACTCTGCCGGAAATTGGTTACATTTGGCACGCAAACTGATTGGCCCGAGTTCGCCGATTGGTTGATCTGGCATCCTTGAGAGAGGTGGAGAGGGAATTCCACAGACCTCACACCAACATTGACTAAGAAAGGAAGTTCAATATACAAACATACAATAAATAAATGTTTGAGTCGACCAGACTACGAGAACAACTTAAACGAAATCCACGGACTAGGACTGAATTATAATTCCACGGGTGTAATCGATTGATGTGTAAATTTCAGATTACCGGTACAGTAAACCTGGGTGAAAGTGCTCGCGTGGCCTGTTGAAATTGTTTAGCCGGGGGAGAAGCCAAAGAGAGCAGGATTCGAGTGTCATTTGACCGAGTGTTCTGGCGTCACCAAAATAACAAACGCAAAACAAATAAAGTTAATGTACCCACCAATGCAGCGAAAAACAACTGCGTCATCGCATGAGAAATACCAAATTATTGCAACTAACGTAAATCGATGTTAAGTAATGCATTCCTCGTAGCGTAATTCTGATCCAGAAGAGATTGTTTTTATACCGATCGTAGTACAAATACAAAAATAGCTTACAGAAACGTAAGCAGCTGAAGGGTGACATTGTACCAATGTAGCGACCTGCGCCGATCGACTAATTGGGATTCCGTGGTGGCGAGCAAATGCTGTCTCCCTCGCCTGGCACGCAGGAGTCGTGGGTTCGCACCCGGACCCTGACGATGCTGTTGTTTATTTGCAGTCTGCGTGCTCTCTCTCTCTCTCTCCCCGTGGTTGTCGCAGCGTGGATTATTCTGCGGGTTCCTCCGGTTTTGCCCTCATCCTCCTCCTCCACATTCAGAAACAACATGCGCTTAAACGATTTGGCTGCTTCTATAAACTCCCGCGTGTGGTGATGATTATGATATCAGACGCTGCGACGATGACCTATCATCACGTGTGGTCAGGTCACCTTTGAAAAGGAGCCAATGGCTGAGAGGGCTTCACTCGGTAAATTAAAGAGACGCACACAACTGTGGCGAGACCGTTTACCCCACCGTGGTCAAGATATGTGTCGACTGCCGCTCCGGGCGATGGAATCAAGCCGGCCACCTCTGATATTACACCTGCAGTGTGCTGCTTGGTAACCATCACTCCAGAGGTGCGTGGCTTCCCCAACCAATATAACACAATTACAAATCATTATTTTATTTTTATCCCAGCTGTCCTAAGCAAGGACGAATTATGTAATCGCGCGGTTAAATGTTCTCCCCCTTGTCTCTTTCTCTCTCCGGGCTGCCTCCACAGATGTTGTTTTCCATCGAAGGAGCCGCCAACATCGACAGGCGATCAGCACTGCCCCTCCCGTAACCTTCGTGCCAGGACAGAGGCACAGCGCCATGCCTTCTAGGTACCGCCACACGTCGCTTTTTCAGGCCATTTCCTACGCTGTTTAAAGTTTTGGATGTTTTTGTTATATATATATGGTGAGTTCTCGCTTAACGCGTGGTGTTCACACTGTAACGCGTTTTCTCCATAACGCTGTTCTACCATGAGGGAACACTTTCCGCACAACACGAATACGCCCCGTTATAACGCAGAACGCACGCCGTTATAACGCGGAACGCTCCCCGTTATAACGCGGGTTCTGAGCGGTCGACCACGAACTACTTTCTTGAGCTGTGCGCCTGAGCGGTGCAGTGATACTGTACGCAGAGTGATACAGAAACGCGGTGGTGTACCCTGAAGTAATTAGTCCCGCCATCTCATTGCATGTTCGTACATCGTCAGACTTTATCGTTACATTATTTCTGGGGAAGTGGTTTTAGCGAACGCATCGACTGCGTTAAATGAGGACTTACATGTGTCACCCACAGTCGTCATAATTGCGTGTCAATTGACAATTTTCCGAGTCGTTGATGTGGCGTGACAACATGTTTCAGCGTCGCCGACCCGCGGACAGATCCCGGCTGCAATGAGTCTCTGGATGTGACCGTGCCACTGTCAGAGAGAGCCGAGGAAATCGGGACTGTTGGAAAGGTTCTGAAGATTGGGGGTGGGGGTCAAAATATCTAAGTGGGTCCCAAGAAGAACATTAAATTGAGCGGCCAAAATGTAGCTCCGTTCTTACCTTAGGCGAACATCAGTGGCGAGTGATATCCGAACTGGTCCTAGGCCTCCCTCTAGTGTGGTCAAACAGCTCCCATGACCGACATGAATTGGAAAGGCTCTCATCCAGCAGTGGATTGACAAACGGCTGTAACTAATGACGTGAATGAAAGATTGGATGTATTGATGAATTTACATCGCGTGATTTTCATTTGGTCACCCTGGTGGTTTGAATGGGAGCTTAAAGAGAAAAAACGCTGGTTGCTGGAGCAGAGAGCGTGTGAAGAGGAGCAGAGTGAGATGAGAGGGGAGAAGTAGGAGAGTGCATGGAGGGGAGTAGAGTGAGATGATAGGGGCGAGGTAGGAGAGTGCGTGGAGGGGAGTAGAGTGAGATGAGAGGGGAGAGGTAGGAGAGTGCGTGGAGGGGAGTAGAGTGAGATGATAGGGGCGAGGTAGGAGAGTGTGTGGAGGGGAGTAGAGTGAGATGAGAGGGGAGAGGCAGGAGAGATCATG